CAGTAGAGATGCTCACCTTCATAGGGTGGACCAGTACCACATTGCAGTAGAGATGCTCACCTTCATAGGGTGGACCAGTACCACATTACAGTAGAGATGCTCACCTTCATAGGGTGGACCAGTACCACGCGCTGACCGGGGTAGTAGACAGCGATGTGGTAGCCGGCAGGGTAGTGGACCTGGTCATTTCGGGGCTCTCTGCACACCTGGTTTTCCTTGGGATTGTAGTTGAAGCCAGTATCTGTGCCAAACGCCACTGGACAATAGAAAAAAAATTACAAATTAAACGTCATCAAAGATGACGATTTGCGATTTTCATTTAAATTTTAAGTGCTGATTACCGTGAAACTGATAACAACAAAATTTTCTTGATAATATAATGGTATTTTAGAGGTGTTAAGTGTTTTTGTTTGCAATATTGGGACTAGCATTCATTGCAGGCTATTTAATATGAAACAACTTTTACTGGACGGCAAACTCCCAAAACTGGCAGCAGAACAATTAAAAAAAATGACATTGAACATGACGATGACACTGACAGTGACATTGACAATGACATTGAAAGACATCATGGATATAAAGCCAGATTTCTTACAATAAGTTTTAGAGAAAAAAGCACATCGACCTACTGATTGCCACAGAGTAACCTGAACATGAAATCTGTATGTTCTGAACATACGGGGAAATTAAACACGTTTTATTTGCATTTTGAAACCATTTTAAATTTTTAATACTACATGTCTTGCAGTTTCCAAAGGTCAAATATTTATTACTAGTCGGATAATGTATGTAAATGTATCTTCATTAAAGAATAGCAAATGTCATTATTATAACGTAATTGTATCATATTGTTATATTATTACCTTGGTAATATGCACTGGAACCAATAAAGAATGATATATTGATAATAATAAAAAGGCGTTAATCTCAGATTTAAAATATCAAATCAGCGTCCTAAAGGTCACAGGATTTTAGTTGACTTTGACCCGGGATAGACACATGTACCTGTACTGCCATCTACTGGAATATCGTACCTAGCTGTCTAATACAGTCTCTCTCCTTTATAACAGACCCGGTAAATTTTTACTGAAAACAACCAAACCTGGCAGTATCCTTCGGCAATTTTAATTAAGACTTTTTTTTGCCCTGATACATGTGGATAATTATCTTTGCTTCAATTGTGATTTGAACTGTTCTACATCTTTTACACTTAACAGAGTCTTCCAATGTTGACAGGCAAGGGCATTTAACTCATTTTCATCTTTTTCATAACAGAACGAAATTAAATCATTGTTGTGCAACATCGCAATGCGGACAGCACAATAATTATATCAGTTACTTACGATCTTTTGCAGCATATCTGTTGGCAGCTCTTGGGTAAGCTCTGCATATGTCCGGCTTGTAGTAGTGCCCGTTCTCCTCCAGGTAGTCGGTACAAACCAGCCAAGAGTGGCCGCGGACAACACTGACCACCAGACACAGAGGAACCAATAACTGCAACATTTTCTTCCAGAGCAGTGGGCGACGCGGGGTCTTATGATGTGAAACTTCGCCAGATGTTTGCTTTTATTTCGTAAGATGAAGAGATACAGTATCAGTCCCAGGTTTAAATAAGGGAACGCGGGCCTGGAAGCCACGTCAACATTTAGGTTAACAAGCTGTCCAGGCATGACGCACCTGTCCTTGGAATTAAGTTTCACGTTAAATAAACCAAAAAGTCGGAGTGTGAATAAGCTTCTATACTGCAGAAAATACTTATCAAATACCAATAGGCCCTTTGCCGTGTATAAGTAATGTCAAATTGATCCGTTTCCTGTTTTAAAACAACATTAAAACGCACCGTCATGAAAAAAGACCTCTCTGACTAACGCTGCCCACAGATGTGATAATAAGACTGACCAAACAAACGCGGAACATTGTTCATTACGGATGTGCAGCGTCACTCTTACGTCTTCACAGGATCTCAAAGAACGCTTGAAACAGGATGCGAAGGTTTTCAATGATTTTAAATTCTAAGAATAGACCAACGTTTGTTTTTAAAAGTACAAATTCAATAAATGGCATATTGAACACATTCCCAATGCAAACAGCGATCAGCAAGACTTGTATGGGAAAATCGTGTCCTGGGTATTATGTCGGACAACATAACCTGAGTAACCGCCTACGCATCAGGGTTCATCCTATCGCACGGGAGGGGGGGGGGGGGCAGTTGTTATTAGAAGGCATTGACAAACCTTTTTATTTAAAAGTTTTGTTATTGAATAGTATTTAAAGCAAAATATATGGTTCAAAAACATCCCAACTGGCTAACGTGAAAAAAATAAAAGCCATCAAAAAGTAGATCAAGCGCAAACAAATACAAACATGAGAAAATTAATAAGAATAATAATAAGAATAAAAATTAGGTCAAAATTGTTATAGAATGCAGTGTTTTAGACGAATGCGCATCTTAAATATAAAGCTTTTGAGGTTTTTCCGGTCAACTACACCAGAAGCAAATATCTGGCGAGAGATAGTCTGTGAAAAATAACTTTGAATTTGATGGCACCTTCGACACTTTGATGTTTAGGTTTCACGTCATCGTCGCCTTATTCACTAAAAACACGGTATCTGATACATGCTTCACAACAAATATGATTTCGATATTTTACACATGGTATATATGTGTTATATTTCGATACATAAAAAATCACTCCCCGTCTTACCGCCAACAATAGTTAAATTGCATCTCACCATGACATAAAAACCAGGTCACGTTTTGACATAATTTGATGACGTAAAGAATAAAGGTGGAACTTAACACATAATATAGAATGCATTGCTTCAATATGCATAGTCATCGTCGTGCAAATAACAACCAAGTGTCGTCTATTGCTTCCGTAGTGCTTGAAAACCAAACTAGCCAAGTTCCTGTGTGCTTCAAATAAATATAATGATGCACACAGTTATCCCACCAAATATCTGCAGCTTATATCAAATAGAAAACTACAGAATCATTTCCGCATTGTATAGCTGCAACAAACCTTCTCTAACACAGCCTGTCGATAAATCGTCTCGTTTTTCAAAAATGTTGATATCTTACTTGATCAAAAATAGAGTACCATCAGCAGCTGATCAACGTGAAAAGTAGTACACTAACAACTTGCATTATTACGTTCATGTGTAGTATTTTGGATCAATACGATGAATACATAACAATTTCAAACTCGGGTGGCTACTGTTTTTATTATGCCATTAAAATAAAATGATACAATGATTTCTCACACAAAGAAAATCATACGAAGAAAGAAACCAGTGCAAGTGATTTTCTATATAATCTATCATAATAAATATTGCATTTGCTTGTAGCAACAATAATAGTAGTCCAAAAATTAAAATCTTGGTCAAAGTAAAATGCGAAAGTAGTATAAAGTATTATAAGGACTTCCAGTATGAACAGACATTAAAACTGGCGTTCTGATGAGACTGAACTATTTACACTATGAATCAATGGCTTTCTTCATTAAAATAATGTTCTACAGTTCTTTGATACTTCACTATCTACACTACAACCATGCTGGCACAGAACATGTGACAACACTATATCAATTGTTTGTTTACAAATATAGAGAATTAATCTTAAATTCTTTTTAAATCACGCACAGAATGTCTCTCATCTCTTTACAGGTGCTATAATTATATCACTGCCTCTGTACAATATAAAATGACCAGGAATTTCAGTTTCTATAAATCACTTTTTCAATATGCAGCCTTGGCTTCAGCCCTGTGGATTTACTACACTACCCTTCAATTAAACTATAAATTCCAACTATAACTTATTAAGTCACTCATATTTTATAATGTCTACTACCATATAATGGACCTTGTACAGTATCGTGGAACTAGACAAATAATATAATAAAAGCAAGAATTTTACCAAATCGTTGAAGCTAGTTTTTTCAGCTCAGGCACCTGTCTAATTCACAATATTTCTAGCTTCAGTAATTACTTATACATAATCAAAATATCCTAGCTTTCTCGGTAACAGTTCGTTGAAAAGGTTTACTCCAAAATGAAATCAGCTTCTTGATGAGCAAGTATCAAAGTTTCAAGTCTATAGGTATCACAATGGCAGGGACTGAACAGCTGTTGGTCTCGTTGTCTTGGAGTGTTAAGAGTTATTTTTGACCAGTACCACGGTGTGCTGACCCCCTGCAGACACCATCAACGCTGACCTGGAGAACAGAGAACAACTTGTGACCCACTTATAACATTGTTATATTATAACATACATAGAAAAAAAAAATTAACTTACTATAGGACTTGCTGAATAAAAAAGCAACAATCCTAAATTGCAATCATTAACACTAATCTTAAACTGGGGAACTAATGACACTTCATAACATCAAGTAAAGACTTTAACATTGCAATGTAATATTTACTTTCTATTTATTTACTTTATGAATAATTTCATCCAACTGTCATAACTTCTACTGAACTGAATGTGAACATCACTTTCATAAATATAAATCCACTTTTTCATCTTACCAATAAAAAGAAAATGTTCCACAATTAAAAAATGCTATGACTTTACTAAAAATTTATAGTCATTTCATTATCAAGTATTCCTCAAGTATTTATTCCACAATCAGAAACAAATGTTCTGTTTCCAACCATACCTGTCTTCTAGTTGTTTTCCTTGCATCTGTGTGGGTTCCCAGAGATCTTCCTCTTCGTCTCCTGCTCCAAGCTGTTTACTGGTGCCCATGCCCCAAGAGAAGATCTCACCTGGGGAAGTTGGCAAAATTACAATTAAATAGATTATATCAAAATATCAAACTTCCATTGAAACAGATATTTATCATATAGGATAGAAATATATAAATATCTCAGTGTATTACAAAATAGACTTTCTGCTAATTCTTAGTTAAAATTTACTCTAAATGTATGTAAAAAGTCAATTTTGGCCTCTGTGAATAGACATTGTCGTTAGGGTATTGCTAAGTCATTTATTTTTAAGAGAATTATTACCAAACAATTCTGAAAATATGCAAAATGTTAGTGTAATGTGGTTTAAAAATAGCAAGAAAAAGAGGGTCTGTGTAGGTACAATTAAGAGGAAACTTCTAATGTGCTTCTCACCTTTCCCTGTTACAGCAAATGACACAGAGCCCCCGGCAGCCACATCCACACAGCCCTTTCCTGATAAAGTTTGCACTAATGTTGGCACCATTTTCTCTTCGTGATTGTTTTCCCCGAGCCCAAGTCTGCCGTATGTGGACCGTCCCATTGTGTACACTTTTCCTGCAGATAGAAAGATTTACATTCAGCCAAAAAAGTGGAAAATCTTAGAAAAATCTTTGTAAGTTTTAGTATAATTAAAAATTGTTTTTTTTCTTTTTTCAATGTTATTTACTGTCAGTATTTTGGCAAAACATGTATACACTAACTTGACAAGATTAAAAAATTCCAGGAAAAATGTTGCAGTGCCATGAACCAAATGTAAAACATCCTACTACTGTTGTCAGTACAACATCTTCATTTGTGGCCACAGGGACAATCTGAAGGGTAAAAACCACAAACTACATTTTATGCATTCCCTTACCTGACCCATCTATAGCCACAGTGTGATGTTGACCTCCCTGTACTAGTAATTCTTTTCTTACCTGACCCATCTATAGCCACAGTGTGATGTTGACCTCCCTGTACTAGTAATTCTTTTCTTACCTGACCCATCTATAGCCACAGTGTGATGTTGACCTCCCTGTACTAGTAATTCTTTTCTTACCTGACCCATCTATAGCCACAGTATGATGTTGACCTCCTTGAATTGTCTTCCAGTCTTTGGAAAATGAGAAAGATTCCAACTTCTCGGGGACGAACCTATTCTGCATGTCATCAACTCCTGGTGGAAGACAATATAATACATTATTATAACATGGGTCACAAAACAGATTCCTTTTCAGAACTGAAATGTTTTTTTCCCATCTGTACTTATGTTACATCTAAACATGCTTCATGTGTCTTCCTTTATTCCATAATTATTTTTGTATCCATCCAAAAAAAGCAAAAAAAATCCCTGGATTTTCTTTTTTGTTCTTATTAAAAATGATTAAAAGAAAACTTTTTGTTCTTTTGTCAACAATTCCCATTAACATAAACACATTATTAACAAGCATAAGGTTTGGATTTCACAGAACCTGCTGTGGAAATTGCTCATTTGCAAATAAACAGGAGAATTTGAAATCTACAACTTGTACGTCTGCACGGCTGCATATTACATGTTAAAGAAAACATCGACAGTAACACTTTCACCCTAATCCTTACCTAACTGGTAGTAGTTGTTCAAGCCCCAGCCGTAGATTTCCCCAGACTGTTTGATCTGAGCAAAGGTGACATAGGTACCCGCCCATATGTCTGAGAAAACCACCTTGCCCTGTCCACGGATCCTCTTACAGTGGACAACACCGGGACTGAGAATAAAATCTAAAATAGGAGGAAATGACCTGGGTAAAACCAATTGTGTCTCCTAATTATGTCAACTGTTTTTTCTGGCCTTTTTTCAAATGCCTTTGACGTGCTTGTCTCCTCCTAACCAATTTAAACAAGGCACTCTTGCATTCTTTCTGACAAAGGGCTCAAACTATTTTCAAAGGGTTCTTTCGGGTAATTTTGTGCACATTTTTATTTCTATTTATTTACATGCCCTGCATCAATTGTTTACCTACCTAAACCTTTTCTACCACCCCGACTAGCAAAGCATTCTGCCACTCTTCCTAGCTGTCCCTGCTCAGCATTGCCTGGTAATACATTACACACCAGTGTCAGAATATGATAGGAAAAGAAGATAAATAAATGAGTAAATAAAACTAAATTAATACATAAATAGAATGGAAAATTAGTAATAATAATAAACTTCTGATACTAACTTAAAACTCAGAACTCTACTAATTGGTTACTATGAAAAAAATAATCATCTTGTGTACAGTTTTGAATACACATTCACATAAAGCCTATATAAAACACTGACTTTCTGAACTAAACTATAACCCTGACGGTATTTCTCTATTCAGAATACTTCCTGGTTTACCTAAAGTGTAAATGATTCCATCCTCTCCCAGACAGACTAAGTGGTCACTACCAGAGACAATCTTCACCACAGCACTGTCCAGGTTGATTTCAATGGGCCTCTGCTGGGGACCCTCTACTGTGAGACCTATAGAACCACTCGCATCCTGTAATAAAAACATGAAATGAAAAAAACATTGAATGAAGAAAATACTGCTCTTCCACTCTGATGAACAAGAAATACCAAAACAATAAATACCTTCAAACACACTTCAATACCATTTAAATTTATTTCAAATGTGATTTCAATAGCTATATAAAACAGTCAGCCAACTTATAAATGCCTTTCTTTTAAATATCACAAAACAACATATATATCAATTTAAATTAAAACAGAAGTTCCTTCCTTTCCTATTTTAATTTCTCTTTCAATTAACTTTATCTAGTGAGAGAGTAAGCTCACCCTGAAATTCCCCCAGGCATAAACTTTCCCGTCTTCTGTGAGGGCAGCAGTGTGACTGTCCCCAGCACTGACTTGGACAATCTTATATGGGAGGTCTGTAACTTTAGCTGGGGAAGCCTCGGACCCTTCTTCTGATGTATCTCTACCCAGAGAGCCATCATCATTACAGCCAAATGTGTAAACCTGAACAGAGAACATCAAGACTATTTATAATGCTCTTAAAGTTATTGCATTAGAAATTACATGTTGCTATATGTTTTCCTTATAACTACACCTGGAATAAAAAATATTGAGACTTTAAGCGTTCTTTTTCTTTGCAAGGGGGAAACCCTGGAGAGCTATTTTAATAATTTTAATATTTTAAAAAACTGCTTATGACTGCAATAACTCTTTCAGGTTAATAGATTTGGACATCTTAGCCTCTGGAATAGTTAGTAGTCACTGCTATCTTAAATATAATTTTTTTCATGCTTACCTCTCCCTCCTCTGTCAAGCAAACTGTATGCATTCCTCCAGCCACAATTTGTATAACATTTGGAGGCAGATCTATTTTTCCTGGTCTTTTCCTCTCAAACACATCTTCCCCCAAACCCAGCTGGCCGACGTCGCCCTCCCCAAGTGTTAAAACTAAACCTTTCTCTGTTCTGTGACTTCTGTGAAATACTAAAATAATAATAAAAATTATAAACAAGGCAGCAAAGCTGTCAAATGTACAGACAAAAAGCAGACAATAACAATGCACAAAACAGGCTACTGTCAATTCTGATGCAAAAGTACATTATGCTTAACTGCAACTTCAACATCAAATTTTAATTATGCTCAACAGGTAATACCAATGTAAGTGAAATGTGTAACAAGCGTGAGGCTTCAGGCCCATGGGAGTTTAAGTTCACACTTTGAAAATGCCAGAATGAGAGAAATGAAAATTTCACATAAAACTGCTTAAATTCAATAATAAATGATAACCCATTTGAGCTGGCTTTCTTATTTGAACTGCATGCCAATCCTACAAATCATACTTGTAAGTTGAAAATAATAATAAGTAACACAGTTTTCTTTTCATAATGTTTGTAGTAGCAGTGCAAAAAGATTTTTGTCAATTTTGATGTAACATTACATAATAAATTACANGGAGATGGAAGCCAATGATAACCTAGCAAATGACTCTCCATCTTGGGATGTCTAATGTAGCAATATGTGCTGCTCGTCTTGTATCAAATTGTTTTTTTGTCTGAATAAAGATGAACATAGCAGAAATAATGTCTTACAGCTTGGCTGTCTTGACTTTTAATTTTTTAATTTCAAGACATTAATTATTGGTCATAATAATATAGAAGTCCTCAATTGGTCAATGTGAGAATGTTGATAATGGTTATTCTGTTTAAAAAACAACTGGAAGTATATAGAATACATTATATGAGAAATCTGCAGACATTCATGGTTAAAACAATAAAGAACTTTTGTAAAAATCCATACGTCTCTCTGTTTTAAATTGTGCATAAAGTTCATTATTTTTATGATGCAGATCTGTATAACTATTAAAAGAATGATAAGATTGTGAAATGTGCTTGGCAATCTTTAAAGAGATCGTGTGTAAAAATTATGTGGGGGGGGGGAGGTAAAATTGTTAGTAGTTTATTTCTCTGTACTAATTATTTTGGGTGCAGTAATTGTACTCAGAAATTAACTAAGACCCCATTCCTATGCCTAAATCGATCAAGCAAGATTGACCCATCTCTGAAGGGTTTCTAGCCAAATTAAATTTGGCTAAGTGGCTCTGATGTCTGGCAGGTCTACTGAAGCTGTACGGGGGTAATTAACTATCTTTTAGCAGCTTCAGTAGGCCTTAATCTGAATGCAATTTGGGTGGGGTCTAAAATACTGAACAACCTGCACTGAAATATATTTGATATGAGAACCACTGTAGGATTGTCTGAGAATCTAACTGGTGTAAAGTAAAATCTACAACAGGAGCACTTATTACATAACCAAATTTATTATTATACAAAAGTAGAAACTTACACAATGAAAAGGTTGATGACCTCTCAAATAACAAACAAAAATGACCTTGAAACTGAAACAGTTGCTAATTGGCACGAGATAACAGTACGAATTGTGCCTAACAATCATCTAACAATTGATATAATGAAATACAACATGAGAGGAGGGTGAAAGTATACCAGTGATTTGCAGCACATTACCTGCCATTAATTTACCTCCAAAAGAACTGCTTACATTATATTTGTCCCAGAGCCTGTCCACCCTCACCTTATAAACAGGTGTGGCAAGGCACCTACACCTCCGACTTCATTCACACAACATTGCTTAATAAAACTACTTTCAGGGGGATGTTTAATAACATCTGTTTCTTTCTGAGATCAATGAGATTTTGTACATTCTAATCATACTTGCTTTGTATACTTGTAAAGTTTAAAGCTGGAATATACCCTTGGCCTTCTATCCTTTAACTTCAAGCAGTGTTAGCTTTCCTTCCATTTTAAATATTTCAACTGTAAATCAGTAATGAAGCTGTATTCAAACAGTATGACCATTCATACTGGGAAAAATGATTGAAGAAATCCACTTTTTAATTCAAAATCTCTTATCTTTTACATTTATAGTAACAATAGTGTTTGACAGTAAGTTCTACTGCATCGTTTTTGCTGCATTAGTTCCAACTATGGTTCAATGTGATGAACATTGGAGTCAAAAACAAGTCATATACCAAGTGAGAGAAAAAGTAACATCAATGCATGGCCCCATTCAGAATAGGGTACTAACTAGTCCAAGGGTCAAATATGGCCGACCCACTTGAATACTTCCCCACGAGATATCTATTTAGTGTCTATTACATGGCAAACTTTGTAGTGGGTCGCCACACTTGACCCTGGGAGTAGTTAGTGGGGCCTTTAATCAATTCCATTTCTGAAACTCTTCAGTCAAAACTGGCATCTGAGCTGTAACTTTCGTCACCACTTGACTCAAATGAGCTGCACTCATCTTCCTCATCCAAGTCTATTGATTTTGTAATTTTTGGTTTCTTCCGCTTTATTTTAGTGGGGCCTGATACTTCCACTGCAGCTTCTGGGAGAGTCTTTACAGAGGAAGGAGGCTTGTACATTTTGTGCTCGTAGACCAGAGGATAAACATGTTCGATGGCAGACTGCACATTGGAAACACGGGGAGCTAGAAAATAAAAGAGAAAATTATCACCACCCGAACATATGACCCATGTAATATGGAATGATCATATAAATTATATGGCCCCAGTATGTATGTTGGTGTTTTGCATATGTTGCACACACACATTCTTTTTTAATTACCAGAAATTCCATAAGAACAGAGATCATCCTCTGTGTAAGGAACTCACAGGAAGAAGTTACCACTGTTCACTATCTAATACAGTGGTAGGTAGCACCAACAATTTTCTAGCTGTATTGTAAACCTCTTGTATATTTACCTGTAACAGTTATACTCCCTGTGGAAAACACTTTTAATGTTGCCTTTGGATCTTTTATTTTGTACGTAACTCCTGGGTGCAGTTCCGGTTCATAACTAGAAAAGAAACAAGGGGGTCATGGTGTAATTAGATAAACAATAATGGAATGATTTCACTAATTCTAGAAAACTTTATGTTAACCCTTGTGTAGATGAAGAAAGGGGGAGGGAGTTAACTGTTGGGACACAATAGTTATTAACAACTTTTACAACTAGACCAGATAAAGGAGAACTGGGTAATGGCAGACATTAATTCGATCAATGCATATCCTTGAGCAGAGATGGAAAATATTTATCTGAAAAGGCAAACTCTGTTTTACCTGGCGTTATTTCTGTTTTCATCTGAGAAAGTTTGAATCCTGATTGCGAAGGGTAAGATGCAGGTGGCCAGTACGTTGACAACCCTGAAACTAGCAAACTTGACGTTGAAGCCCAACTTCTGCAATGCCCTCGCCACCTTCCTACCAGCCTTCTTTGCTTCCTCTTCACTGAAAATAAAAGAAAATCCATCCTACTTATAACTTCATTAAAATCAACCTCCCTCAAAAGACACAATGCTAGTACATGCAATTCACTATGATAAGAATATACATTACATGTAATAAGATATGTACAATTTAAATACTGCCCTTCCATATCCCTGAAGAAGATAATCTAGTGTTTATAGGACCGTCAGTGCCAGCCATAACCTATGCGATATATTTACAAACAATGACTTAAGATAACTGTGTTTTAGTCCCATGTCATCACCTTGTGGCTCCAGTACATGTTATCTTTCCTGATGACCAAATACTGGCAGTGGCTTTTGGATGCCTTATCTTCATTGACACCATCTGGAAAGGAAGCAAATAATAATAATAATAATGATGAAAACCCCTGAAAAATAAAAAACTATCTGGAACAAAAGATGGGCATTATTCTTTTTAAAATCTGACCAACAAGTTATTACAAGATATAAAATATATTCCAACATATAAAATGACACCAACCATGTTGTGTTATGTATAAGTCTAGAGGGTACATGGTTTTTGTATTATATTTCAATTGTTAAAACAAAGGTACTTATGAGACCCCTGTATGCCTGCAGCAAATAACACTGCTTTCAGTTTTTACAAAAGCCCATGCCTGAAGGAAATGTTTAACAGCAATAAATAAAGCATGCAATACTTGGGTACTTATGTGCACACTCAACTGGTTAATGAACCTGGTATACATGATCAAAATTGGTTAAGTATCTTTACAGGAGGATGAAGCTTGGGAATACAGCAGTAGGTGTACCGAGTTTGGATGATCCGTTGTCTTTTACTATTTTATTTGAATTTTCTATTGCTTATTTTTGGAGATTCTGTTTCACAAGCTCACCTTTTTTTTCGAGGCCATTTGGCAGTTTTATGAACTCCCATGAAAAATTAACTGATTTTGATGATTTTTTTGCATGTTAGACTAATATGGTAGTCGACACTCGTGTTCTGGAATTTTTAGGTTCATTTAACTGGTCGAATACTTAATCAAGGTGACAGTCGAATGTGCTTATGTTTATGTAAAATTACATCTTTGAAAAAAATATATCTTTGAAAAATAACAAGCTTGAACGATCAGTCTAGCAAATCTATTCACAGTATTTTATTCACAGCATTGGTTATAAAAGTGTAAATTTATAGAAGTGCTAGCGTGAAGAGTGTTAAGACTAAGTGGTCATACCCCATTCTCCCTCTTGTATTCAACATTGATCCCCTCTGTCGCTATCTTCCTCAGGTTCAGATGACACCTTGTGTTAAAGGAACACACAACATTGTTTATCACAATATCTATCACAGGCTCTGTCTTAGTCTCCGTGTGTTCTTGGCACTGCGTCTCTGCCTCAACAACGATACCAATGTCTGCGTTTCTCTCTGTCGCTGGCTGTTGCTGATGGACCTGCAGCACCTCCGTCATTGTTCTTCGGTTTACACGGCAACATGAAATGTGCTCAGATAATCCCGAATGAAAAAGGACGAACAACTATTCTCTTAGCTCGTCGGTCATTTTCTAGGTAGTTTACCACTTTGAGTTACTCATGATAGACCGGTTTTTTGGGAACATGAAAAGACAAATCCACACCTCGCCTGTTCTAAGATGTCACCCTTTCGGGTATTTCCGTAAATTAAATGACCAATCACAAAGTTTTTATTCATTTTACGGAAAGGTACGAAAATTTAGCGTAGATATCCGTCAGAGATGATGTTTGATTGGCCAAGTAAAGATCACACATCCACGATAAAATTTACTTTTAATACTGATTTAACACAAGCTAATTTGCTCAAACATGAATATGAACGTGTTTTTATACTTAATTAGTTTGTTTTCATTATTATCTGCTTCTGTTTATGTGTCTTTTCCATTATTGCCTTCAAATTTGATCAGATTGACTTCATTACTTTAAGCCAATGAAATAGAACATCACATCCATTTCTAGGAATCACCAATATGGCTGCCCCCTATGAAATGTATCTTGGTGAGGGTCAACTCGTTAAAAGTTGCCTTTTAATTAAGTAATGCGATTTGGTGAGTTATATACGTGTTTGAATTTGTGCATTACATATGATCTCTGAATCTGCAGTAAATTACACCTGGCTAAAGTGGACACAGAGCGTCGAATTGACCTATGAAATTCAGAATCTCTTTGCATTTTGTAAAATATCAGTAGGAATTTCTCTCTCAGTCTCGAGGAAATTAATAGTGTCTGTTTTAAATAAGAATGGTTAAAACAGTTTGGGATCTGTTGTGAATAAAAGCAGGAAAGGCCTGCTGGGATGACTAAACTGTTCAGGTAGAGGAGCGATATGTAACTCCTGGAAGCGCCGGCTCCAGGTAGTTGAATGCCATTTATGGGCATAGATTTCCATTGCCTCGCCTCCGTGGAGGACGGAAAGCAGAATTGCCAGATGCCCATTTTAGATTAGGGGTTTGGTGAGAGTAAACAAAACCGTGAAAGGATGATTTTAGGTTTCCTTGCATTTTGTGCAGAACGTTTTACTGCTTTCAAGGTTGTATAGTGGAGCTGATCACTGTAGGTAAATTGGGGAATATTATAATATTAATTTGCACATTTTCATTGGCAAAGGGTCAAAAATTTCTGGATAGTATTTATAGCTATGTAAAAGGAAATTCAATTTATTTAATCTACTAATGGAAATGTAGCTGATTACAACAAAACATCTACTTTATTTTCAGTCTACATGTACTTTATTGTCAAAATATAAAATATAGTTTATGTAGATATACTGTTTACCAAATGTAATCTTGTGGTGCTATGTTTGCCATTTTTGTAGGTGGGGTTGTAAAATATTCTTACAATTTTTGTTATTTTTTATATTCATCACAGATTTATTAATCTTCATCAGGTGTCTTGCTGAATGCAGTGTACATACAGTATGGTGCTTTGACAGAGGGTTAGTACATGGTGGTATTTCCTGTGTACCACCACCATGGCATCTGAAGAGAATGATGATGATTGGAAGATGAAGGAATTTCTCAAATCAACAAAAAGTGTACGTGGAGGGTACAGAGTTGGAGCAGGGCGACCCAAAAAATATGTGGGCATGGACAGGAAAGAAGTGAGGAAAATGTACCGTAGGATGCAGAGAAATGCCAGCATTCAGTTGCCTTCATCTTATACACAGCCCTGGCAGAGAGAGAAGTCCAGACTGGGACTCATATCTGATTCACAATTTATTCAACATCTGCTCAACCTCAGGTATGTCTGTTTAGTTACAAGCATAGACAGATTTTTTTTAACCAGCTGCACAGCCAGTTGTTTGATAGATATTGGTGCATTGTATTATTTATTATACTATGATATTTATTCTGCCTTTTAAGCTTGAAGATGTTTCAGATTAATTGAAAATTCATTTCTTCATTTTACAATTACAGTTTTAAGATGTATACATATGTATTTGTTGAAAATTCATTTTTACTGTCGGTAAATTTTTATACCTCATGCATCTCTATCTTAAATACAGACATGACTCATTACACTGTAAATAATGAAAGGTGTAATTTGTAAAAAAAAAAAAATTAGTAAATTGGCTTTGCATATGTTTTATATTTACAGTCAAAATTTAAGTGAAAATGGCAGACAGCATGGCCTGTCCTCCAACCTGGCGCCCCCTATTTCTCACCTGTCCAGCACCTGCCAAGACGAGGATTCCATTGTAGACAATGACTCTTCCACAGGGAACATTCAGAGAACAAACTTACAGACTAGAATGGTATGTGTTTAATACATAAGAAGTTAGTTATTAACTGTTTTTAATGTAAAAGTTGGTTTATACAATTTTAATCAACTTAAAAGTCATTTTTAATATAGTTGAGTTTGTTGTATAAGTTATTCATTTTAATGGTAAATTGGAAATAAAAAAGATGCTATTTTGAACTGTTGGTGTTACTATTTTTTGTGAAGATTGGACATTTCTGATATTTACTGTACATAATGTTTCAGATGCCACTTAAGCACAGACAGGCCACACCTTCCATTTCATTATCCAGATTTGTGTATGATGATTTTGATGCTGCTAGAATTGAGATGGAGAAAGATAATGATGGTTTTGTCAAATATCTACTTAAACTACATTATAGGTTAGTGTAAAAATTGATGACAAATATTTTATTCAACAATGTAAAGATGTGTTTTTTCCTTTCTTTAAATAAAGTTGGTTTTGATTGAGAGTAGCCTTGAAAAATTCCCCTTTCAGTAATTGTCTGCTCACATAAATGTCTCATTTCTATGAACAAAAATTTACTTATGTTTTACATGCACTGTACATTAAATTAAACTCTGGACAACAAAATTATCTTCTTAGTAGATGACTTTGTCATTTCAAGTATTTTATTTATTATTTCTTTTATCTATTCAGGCATTGTGTTGAGGGTGATGAGATGAACTACTCAGACCTTGGAGGCTCAGAGAGTGAAGCTGCTGAAATGGAAGATATTCAACAACAGGATGCTCACCAAGATAAAGATTGCAGAAATGAACATGTAGAACCTCAAGTTGATAACAGAAATACTCAGGATGAAGTCTTAGATCTGTCCACTGTGCGTGTGAAGAAAGAAGGGGAGAGAACACTGGATAATCTCTATACTAAAACTTGGTCTAATCAGAGAATGGAAGACCAATCAATGTCAGCTACACAGAAAGTAGACATGGACACTAGACACACAGACTCAGTAAATAGATCTGCCAACTACAACAAGAAACTGGTATTTATCAATGCTGTTGATCCGGCTTCCAAAAATACTGCCAATGTGACTGCATCAACAGCTGCACCAGCCGTTGCCACGGCAACTTCTGGTTATTTATCCCAGCAGCTCAGCACCAGCAAGTTATCCCAGCCAGTGTCCAGTATGGTGGACCAGGTGGGCTTCCCTGTCATGATGGCCACTGGGATAGGCTCCTATGCTTCAGTTAACCAAGCCATCCCATTGCTGGCAATACCCACCTCTTTCAGTCCAAATATTCCCAGTGGCACAGCAGCCTGGTCAGTGCCAGTGAACAATTACAGTAATAGCCAGTCTTCCAGCAGTAACATTACCATGTCAGGGACAGCAGACTCTCCCAGTGGTTTACCGTCCTCAGTGACAGTACGGGAATTGATATATGGAGATCACACTGGTCAGAGAGGAAGGAGAAGGAAAACCCAGTGGACACATTACACTCCTCATCTCTCTACCAGTCACCCTGCTATGGCCACAGCTGCTGTGGATACTCCGTCCAATGCCACATATGACTCTGTCCATCAGGGGCCTGTAAGCACAGCCAGAACTGCTCACAGCGCCCCGACCAGTGCCTTCACCACCACAGAGAGGTCTGCCTTGTCACAGATTGACACTGCCAAGACAAGAGATGTCCCTCTCAAACAAAAGTCAAAAATTGTTCAATACCAGTTGATGCATCCAGGGAAAGAACGAGTCACAAAAAGTGGAGTTACATTTTGTGAGTTTCGCTTCACAGATCGCCATCTTGTCCAGCCCAAAGTCCGAGGTTATGGAGGAAAAAAGCTGTCATCCGTGCCTAAGAGATATTCTCCCAGAAAACGCCAGGAGCCTATTCCAGGGACTTGCAAATTCAAGTTGGATAAAGAGACAGGAGATCTTGTCAGAAAAGAAAGAACTTGGATGCCTCCCATAGTTCAAGATGAACAGGGCAGCAGCTATCCTCAGAATATGAACCCTGCCCAAACCACTGCAACACAGCAGCAGGTGGACCATCAGAACAATAACAGTACTCTGTCAGATCCTCACTGTGGGTCAGAAGACCAGTTTGACCTTCAAGGTCACGAGGACAAACATGCCCTAGACACTGGAGATAACATCATATGTGAGCTAGATGAGGAGGAGGAGGAAGAGGAACAGTCACAAGAAGTCAGCGGTAATGTAAGTGTGAATCAAACTGCAGAGAACCAAGGAGAAGGCCCCAGCTTGCAGTGGGAAATAAACCAGAAGTTTATGGGCAACGGCAGCACCATGCAAATCTTCACAATGGCCATGTCCTGTTCTGTGTGCAGAAAGTCCTTCAAGTCAAAGAGGGCCCTAGAAAGTCATGAGAAGACCCATGGGAGTGCTGACCCCCCTTTCCAATGTCAGCTCTGTGGATTTGAGGCCAAGTTTTACTACACTATGGACATCCATATGAAATCTACCCACGAGAACACAGATAAACGGTGTGACCATTGTGGAGAAAACGTACCAGATCATAACATACAGCAACACATGCAGCTAGTCCATGAGGACATGGCTCATATTTGTGGAGAGTGTGGGAAACTTTTCTTCAGTCAACAAAAACTGAATCTCCACATTTCTCAGTCCCACAGTGCCAAGGAGGTGTTGACTTGCCCGTATGATGATTGCAGCACTGAATTAAAAAAACAGCAGTTGGCATCTAAACATGTCCAGGTTGTACACTACAAGATAAAGCCTTACCATTGTGATGTCCCGGGCTGCGGCAAGTCATTTGTAAGTCAAACCACATTAAACAGCCATCTTCTGGTGCACTCCGGGGATAAGCATCACACGTGTAAGTTTTGTCAGCAACGCTTTCGTACAAACTGGCAACTGAAGGTGCACATGCGTCGACACACAGATGAGAAGCCGATTAAATGTGACCAGTGTGACTATCGCTGTCGTCAGAGAGCCTCGTTGAACTGGCACATGAGAAAACACAGACAGCATTGCGTGTCTTGAAGTACAGTGGAGAGGAATGCAGTAGACGCACTTTACTATTACTATGCAAGGAACTTTTTCTTTGTGCCATATTGAAGAGTCATTGAATATTGTTAATTTANATCAACAGCTGCACCAGCCGTTGCCACGGCAACTTCTGGTTATTTATCCCAGCAGCTCAGCACCAGCAAGTTATCCCAGCCAGTGTCCAGTATGGTGGACCAGGTGGGCTTCCCTGTCATGATGGCCACTGGGATAGGCTCCTATGCTTCAGTTAACCAAGCCATCCCATTGCTGGCAATACCCACCTCTTTCAGTCCAAATATTCCCAGTGGCACAGCAGCCTGGTCAGTGCCAGTGAACAATTACAGTAATAGCCAGTCTTCCAGCAGTAACATTACCATGTCAGGGACAGCAGACTCTCCCAGTGGTTTACCGTCCTCAGTGACAGTACGGGAATTGATATATGGAGATCACACTGGTCAGAGAGGAAGGAGAAGGAAAACCCAGTGGACACATTACACTCCTCATCTCTCTACCAGTCACCCTGCTATGGCCACTGCTGCTGTGGATACTCCGTCCAATGCCACATATGACTCTGTCCATCAGGGGCCTGTAAGCACAGCCAGAACTGCTCACAGCGCCCCGACCAGTGCCTTCACCACCACAGAGAGGTCTGCCTTGTCACAGATTGACACTGCCAAGACAAGAGATGTCCCTCTCAAACAAAAGTCAAAAATTGTTCAATACCAGTTGATGCATCCAGGGAAAGAACGAGTCACAAAAAGTGGAGTTACATTTTGTGAGTTTCGCTTCACAGATCGCCATCTTGTCCAGCCCAAAGTCCGAGGTTATGGAGGAAAAAAGCTGTCATCCGTGCCTAAGAGATATTCTCCCAGAAAACGCCAGGAGCCTATTCCAGGGACTTGCAAATTCAAGTTGGATAAAGAGACAGGAGATCTTGTCAGAAAAGAAAGAACTTGGATGCCTCCCATAGTTCAAGATGAACAGGGCAGCAGCTATCCTCAGAATATGAACCCTGCCCAAACCACTGCAACACAGCAGCAGGTGGACCATCAGAACAATAACAGTACTCTGTCAGATCCTCACTGTGGGTCAGAAGACCAGTTTGACCTTCAAGGTCACGAGGACAAACATGCCCTAGACACTGGAGATAACATCATATGTGAGCTAGATGAGGAGGAGGAGGAAGAGGAACAGTCACAAGAAGTCAGCGGTAATGTAAGTGTGAATCAAACTGCAGAGAACCAAGGAGAAGGCCCCAGCTTGCAGTGGGAAATAAACCAGAAGTTTATGGGCAACGGCAGCACCATGCAAATCTTCACAATGGCCATGTCCTGTTCTGTGTGCAGAAAGTCCTTCAAGTCAAAGAGGGCCCTAGAAAGTCATGAGAAGACCCATGGGAGTGCTGACCCCCCTTTCCAATGTCAGCTCTGTGGATTTGAGGCCAAGTTTTACTACACTATGGACATCCATATGAAATCTACCCACGAGAACACAGATAAACGGTGTGACCATTGTGGAGAAAACGTACCAGATCATAACATACAGCAACACATGCAGCTAGTCCATGAGGACATGGCTCATATTTGTGGAGAGTGTGGGAAACTTTTCTTCAGTCAACAAAAACTGAATCTCCACATTTCTCAGTCCCACAGTGCCAAGGAGGTGTTGACTTGCCCGTATGATGATTGCAGCACTGAATTAAAAAAACAGCAGTTGGCATCTAAACATGTCCAGGTTGTACACTACAAGATAAAGCCTTACCATTGTGATGTCCCGGGCTGCGGCAAGTCATTTGTAAGTCAAACCACATTAAACAGCCATCTTCTGGTGCACTCCGGGGATAAGCATCACACGTGTAAGTTTTGTCAGCAACGCTTTCGTACAAACTGGCAACTGAAGGTGCACATGCGTCGACACACAGATGAGAAGCCGATTAAATGTGACCAGTGTGACTATCGCTGTCGTCAGAGAGCCTCGTTGAACTGGCACATGCGAAAACACAGACAGCATTGCGTGTCTTGAAGTACAGTGGAGAGGAATGCAGTAGACGCACTTTACTATTACTATGCAAGGAACTTTTTCTTTGTGCCATATTGAAGAGTCATTGAATATTGTTAATTTATTTTTCCCTTTTTTTTTTGCATCCAGACAATCCATAATTTATAATACCGTTTATTTTCACTAATGTGAAGTGTGCATATATCAATTTGCTTAAGATGAAAGAGACTTGCGACAATATCATGTTTGTTTAACAAATAATAATTTAAAATAATTTGTATACATTTACATATATTCTTGCATGTATAGTGTTTATATTGCTTTGTGCCAAACTTTATAATCTTGATCATCCACTTTCACATAATGGTGCTGTATGTGGGGTTTGTACACTTCTTAAATACAAACATGTACACATTTAGTTGTAAGCAATTTTTTTTACAAATCAAAATAATATATTGTAATTGCACATTACAATCAGTCTGTGTTCTGAAAAACCTGTCGCGGAAAATGATCTGCAGAATAATTTTACTTTAATTATGATTTGTTTTGTTTGTAGACAATATTTTTTCTTTCAAGTTTACAACTGGTGCTAATAATCTGATAAACAGTTGATATTAGCTGTGCATTTCTGCCACTTTTCATCAGAAACCAGAAGTAAAAATCTTTTTGTGAATGAGATTCAGTTTGAGACAATTTTTTTCTATTGTATATTTGAAGGAACATGAGCTGAGGCAAATAGCCTTGAAAAGATAAGTGTGTCAGATATTAGATATGAAAGTATTAATTTGAAAAGTTATTAACTAATACCATGAACATGTTGTTTGTAAAGATCAGTGAATTACATTCAAATTTTTGTTTGTCCACCTTGCAAGAAGAATGGTGCTCTTTGTTAAATGTGATAGTACTTACTGGGCATGTTCACACTTAGAACAAGTATTTACTGGGCGTGTTCACACTTAGAACAAGTATTTACTGGGCGTGTTCACATTTAGAACAAGTACTTACTGGGTGTGTTCACACTTAGGACAAGTATTTACTGGATGTGTTCACTTGGGACAGTTTCCTCCCACACGTTCTGCCCAACACTTCCAAAATTGAACATATATTTCCCTTCACGTATGCATATGATGTGTAAAGGACGGATTGTTTTTAGTATTTCTTAGTTTTTTTGGATTGTTTTATTTCTATACTTACTGTATAGCACTGCTGTTGTTAAAGGTCAAGTTTCTCAAGTGCAATTGTGAAAGTACAATAGTGATGGATACTGAAATTACCACACCATTTCATTATTAAAGTTTTTTTTTTATTAAAACTACAAGTACAGACTGTTAGAAATAAATTTTTTTAACTTTCAGCAATCACTTTGTCTTTGTCACTCTTTCCAAAGTAGACTATGTGTAACCCTTATACGCACCTCACACTCATGATAAAAAAATACCTTGGGTGGTATTCATACAGAGGCTCTCACAAGTTCTAAGAAAGTATAGTAATGTGATCCATCTACTTCTAGTTTTTGCCATTTTAGACTTGCACACAGAATGAACTAATGGGCAACCTTTTAACTGCACAGAAATTTTTATTTCTGGACAAAATACAAATGATATTAAAAGGCTTTACATTTCTGTCTCGTAAAACTTAGAAAACTACAAAATAATTAAAAATTGTGCCCAACACTGCCAGGTACTTGGATCACTAAAAAAAGAAAACACTTGGTCTACTGGGATAAAAAATGATATACTTTGAATACTGATATACTATGTAGGTAAAGTCCTTTTTTAAATACTATCATACTATTATACAAAGAATTAATTTACAAGAATACTACCTCACTAGTTAGCACTGCAACATCTGCAGAATATCAATAAATACAGGACAGTATACTATGCATAAGTTAGTTGGGCTTTTTGGCACTTCTTTAAAAATGTACACACCTAATTTACAATATACATTACAAATACTGATTTTTCTCTAGACTAGAAGAAACAATATCTGGCTTGTGCGAAATACTTGAACTTCATGTGTTTTGATGAAGTTAGAAGTTGATTCAGAACTTCAGATATTTTGATGGAGTCAGAGGTCGACCATGAACTTTGTATTTTTTTAAAATAAAATTAGAAATCCACCCAGAAGCTGGTAGTGGAGTCTGGTCTTGAAGATTGCAGGTCCAAAACATTGCAAGCTAATGTTGGTTTATTTGCTGGCTTGGGCTGAAATGATTTAAAAAATAATAATATGATGATGATGAAATTCCAATCAAAATTATACACTAAAAGTCACTGTTTCCATGTCACGATGTGACGGCAAATTTTTGCAACAATCAGGTCTGTTAAAATCCTGAGAAATTATAAACATGGCAGGGACCTTGGCAATTAAAAAAAATCATAATCCATTCTACCTTATGGCTCAGAAAAAAAAATGCCTCAGCCTAATTTAAAAGAAAACTATTTCTAAATGACTGACCTTCTCTATGACAAAAGTTCTTCTCAGTCTGCTGGTTGGTCGTCTGGCCGCTGTGGACCCTGGTTCTTGACTGCTGGTGGTGGGTCTGTACGGAAGGAGAAATATTGAAGTTTTTATATTTCACAAAGATAAAAAGAATTCTGAATTAGCATCCTACTCTGTTCATTTTTTAACTAAATACTTAAAACATTATCACAATAAATGAAGCAAATTAAAAAAAAAAAGACTTTTAAAAATCTTGCCAAGCACAACAAATATGCTGTACATAAAGTTAAGAACGTCTAAAGCTGACCCATAAGCTGACAGGTGAAAAACTAAGTTGAAATTCTACCTGAGTAAGACAAAGGGCATTCTAATATCAACTTGCTGACTTAAATGGAGTTTATAGCTGCATGTCTTTAATTAGAGAAGAGTGAAACATAACAATCTATGAAATAAAGAATGGAAGGAAGCATTATGCACCACACCCACTCTAATGAAAATAAAAACTACGTAAACAATGCATCATGTTTAGGACAATTTGGACAAGCATGTAAATCTTTTTCTTGATTTGTTCCACATGCCCATTTAAAAAGTTTTAATGAGGGCATTCAATGTACACTAGTCTGTTATTTTGGTATAAAAAGTTAATACTAAACACTAATAAACAAAATTATTAATTTCCTCATCATTCAAAAATATTTAATACTTAGCAACAGCAAACATAAGAAACACCTTGCACAGTATGTGATGCATTCCTTTGGTGTACAAATACATTATACAGAACAACAGACATAATGTACACATACAACACATCCATGTCTACCATATAATGTACACATACAACACATCCATGTCTACCATATAATGATAATGGAGGTAATGAACACTTTTTTTTCCAATTAAAAGGGGCTGAACCTGTATCAAAAGCAATGTGGCTAGTTTCTACTATTCTACAAGTAACATCCCTCCCAAGGCATTAGGGACTAACTCTACTTTTGAAGATTAATTAATGAATAAGATTATAATTTATACCTGAACATGCTAACAAGGAAACATTTTGTTTAGCTCAGTTTCTGCTCTTTCAGTGTGAGCAAATTTTGCAGAAATAATGTGGCATTATATGAATATGAGAAAATTAAATAAAAGAGTTTGGATTTATGTCAATGGACATTATTTTTGAGAAAAAAGTAGGAAGAAAAACCCAAGAGGCCTTATGACTGGGATATGGGGAGGGGGGGGGGGAGGGAGGGTTAAGCAAAAGCCGATGAAAAAGTATCCAATTTCCAATTCAAATCAGAAAAAAAAATTCTGTTTCAAGTTTGAATTCTAGTCACCTTGGAGAGAGTAGCACAGCACTTCCTTCAGCAGTGATAACAGGAGGTTCTCCTGGAACACAAAGTGACAGCTAAACACAAACTACTCTTTATTATGGACCCACACATTCATTCAAGCCATCAATCTGATGTCAGCTTCTATGGACCCTCCTCTTCTATAAGCCATGCATTCCACAAGTGACACAATTAGCAAAAATAAATAAATAATTAAATAAAACTGAAGAAAAATAAGAACTAAATCATTAAATTAAAGCAAGGCCCAAATGCATAATAACTAAAACAAATTTGGAAAAGAATCCACATAAAGAGCATCTAGTAGTTTTGAAGACAGTCTGCAGTTAAAACAATTTTAGTAGCACCCAGATTAAGAAACAAACCATCAATCTACCAAACCAAGCATCTAAACCAACACATCCCAACCTACCTGTCAGTGACACCATGGACTCAGCACCAGTCTGAGAGGTCATCTCTACGGCAACAGTGGTGCTCTGTATCACCTCAGAACTACTTAACACCTTCCTCATCCCCTTAGCAGTGGGAGGCTTTCTCTTCATCACTCTCCTCCTCTCAGCCTCACTGTCAGTGCCACTGGTGCTGGTCTTGCGTTGTGGGTAGGCACCTGTGCCACCGCCATTCTTGGGACTGTGGGATGCGCTGCGCCGTTTGGGGTTCAGAATTTTCTTTCCACGTCTTTTGGGTGGATCAGAGCTGTAAGAGTGAACGGATATCAGGCATTGTTAATGGGACTGCAAGTAGGAGGTCAATCTCACTGTTTAAACACATTCCAAAGAGAATCATTTTTGACGTCCCTAATTAATTTGGCAATCTGTAGAGATCTTATAATGAAACTGTATTGCTTAAAAGGTCAAAATCTGATGAGTTTTTTTCTCATGAATTCAGTGAAACACATAGTGCTGGTAGCCTGGCACCTAACCCTGATGATTCATATTAAAAGATAACTTACTTAGGTAGATCCCAGCCTTTTCCACCACTCAGATGACTTGGAGGCTTATGTCTCAGAGGGAAATTATCATTCAGCTAAAAAAGAAAGGTTAACATAGCATTTAGTACCTAAGTCGATAAACCATTCAGAAACATATTGACAGTTACAATAATAAAAAAAACAGAATGACAGAAAGATGAATACTTTTAAAAAATGTCCTCCATCTGGTAACAAGTACCTTTTAACATTTTAAAAGAGGAAGGTGAATTAAAAAAAAATCTAATATTTCGAGAGAATTAATGCCAGCAGTCAGAATGACTTATAAATACTTTACCTTCTGCAGCTGCTGTACTTTCTCTTCCTCCATGCTCTGAATAGAGCCGTCATTGGAGTTCGGCCTCATCATGAACGGTGGAGATATCCCAGCATGCTCCTCCTCAAGGTGTGCCTGCTGCACCTGCTGTATCAGCTGCGCCCTCTGCAGGGACAGATCACTGGTGAAATGGCGGCGCTGGCGAGCCTGGGTCACAAAATCAGTGATGCCACTCACTGCTTGTGGCCCAGATTGGACGCTGCGGACGGCCGGTTGCTGGACACCTTGACCCGGGTGATGACCAGGAGGGCCAGTAGGATTGTGCTGGACATTTTCATTGGAATGTGAGAACTGCAGTCTGTGGATGACAGAGTCACTCTGTGAGTGGTACCCCAGCTTCAGCATGTCCACGTGTGGCTGCGACTTTCTCTTCAACTCCTGTCCCACACTGGATTTACTGACAGGCTGACTGCTGGGGTGACCCGGGGGACTGACTCTGCTGGAGCTGTTCTTCAGAAAGCCTCCAGCCGTAGGCACCTCTGCCATACCTGCCAGGCCACCCCCTGTAGAGGAGAGCTGGTGAGCCAGCTGGTACTTCTGAAACAGCTCCGTGTTGGGGCCATTGGCCAGGCTGGGGTGCTTGGGGAGATTCAGCTTCATGTCCGTGGTGACGGTGGTGTAGGCCATGGTAGCACTGGTTGTCATGGTAACCGTGGTGGTCGTGGGTGTGACACTGGCAGTTGATGACATGGGGACAGATACGACAGGGGAGTTCTTCACCATTCTTCTGTTGTTGTCTGTGCTGGCTGCTTTACCTGGAATAATTTTAATCAAGAATATTGTGCCACTGTGCATGTTTTGTGATTCCTTTCAAATCAATGACTACTCTTAGATTAAAGCCACTATCCTAATATCTAGGTATCAGGCCTTTTTATTTGGTAGAGATATTTTTCTAAGCCACTATAATCTATATGTCCTTACAATGTGAAAGCAAATAAATTATAATTTTTCTATATTAATCTTCTTAAGATTCATTTCATTCTGAAATTTTAACCACTCAGACTCCTCACCAGCTTTGACTGGGCCCAGCTCCTTCTTGCTGTTCTGTGAGGTGAGGAGTGGTCTCCTGTTGGTAAAGCTCCCCCTGGTGGTAGTGGTATTGGTGGTCCCTGTTCCACCAGTGGCAGAACTGATACGGGAGAACGAGGAGGTCTTGCTGATGTTGGTATGAGGGGTGGCATGTGAGGCTACAATGCTGGAAAAAGGAAAAAAAAGATACAAACAGTTAGGTATGATATTTGAGGTTAATATCATTATGTAAGAAACATTTCCGTTATACATTTACTATATTCCAATGTACACAAAGTTTTTAATCCACATCAGAATCTCTAAATTTGTGCAACACTATAATATAATAT